GAGCCCTCCTGAGCTGTGGCCGTTGGCGAACAGCAGTGTGTTCAGTACTGGTCCATCAGGTGTAACAAACGCACCACAGGAACGCGAGGTGCTGCTCACAGGAGAGGCAGCTCGCGGGCGGACTGGGCAAGTGGGAGCACTCGGGCCTTTCTGCACAGTTCTCCTGTAGACCCAAGACTGCTCTGAAGGAAGAAGTGTATTTAAAAAAGCAAACCAAAACAGAAAAAGCGCCTGCCTTCATGGAGCCCACAGTCTCATGGGCATAGTTAGATGATGAACAGTTAAGGAAGTAAAATATTTTGTATATAATACTTACAGTGATAATTGTTCATAGAGAAAGCAGGAAAGGGGAATAGAAAGTTGTTGGTGAGGTGGGTGAGGGGGCAGGGTGCTGTAATTTTGTCACAGTGGTCAGGTAGGTCTGTGTGGTAAGGCGACATTTGACACGTTGGAGAGTCTGAACACGAGAGATGTCCCTGTAGTCCTGGGCTTCTTGTCACGACTGATAAATACAGGGATAAAAGGTATGATGCTATTATTGTGATAGTCTTATGGCAGTTAAATGGTCCTGCGATGATTATGCACATTATGCCCATCTTTTCTTACGGTATTATTATATGAGGATCAAGTGAGTGTATATGTGAAAATTCTTTGGAAACTGCGAAGTACCATAAGAGTTTGTATCTAATTGCACAATCCATTAATAATAACTTGAGGTAGGCACTTTTCTCTGAATCCTTCCTTTGCATATCCGTTATCTTGGGTTGGTAGCCCACAGTGGCCCCAAGTGGGTGGATGATAGGGTCTTTGTCACAGTTACAGGCTAGCTCCCTGTCACGCCTTCCCCCTTCCTGCCCCCAGCCCATTGTTCTTACTTGTTTCCTTAGCGCCCTCAGGCTCTGCTCTAGCTGCGTCAGTGACCCCCCTTTTGCCCTCTTCCCTCCTGGTAGTTTGAGGAGCAGCAGGCTTTTGAGAAGAGTCGCAAGTTTCTCCGGCAGCTGGAGATTTGCTTTGCAGAGAACCCCTCGCACCACCAGAAGATTATCAAGGTGCTACAAGGCTGTGCAGACTGCCTGCCCCAGGAGATCACCGAGGTATCCCTTCCGTCCTGCTTCTCTCCAGTGTCATCTGGACCTTAGGCCCTTGCCTGCCCCCTTCCTCTAACCTATTCCATACCCTCTTGTCCCGGGGAACTGGGGGCTTCTCGGGGAGATGAAGAAGGACAGACTTTAGGCTTAGCTAAAGCATAAATCACTAGGGTAGGGAGGATTGCCACCGGAAACCAGAGCCTGACTGAGCTCCACAGGCTCAGGTACGCCATCAGGGCCCTGGAAGTGATGTTCAAGGAAGGGGGCCCTGGGGCCCTGGGGCCCTGGGGGAGGCCTGCCTCCTTGCTCTGCTGGGTAGTGCCCTAGCTGGAGATCAGTAGGGCAGAAGCAGAGTGTTATCATTAGGAATCAAACTCTTATTAATAATCCTCCCCTGTAGGCAAGCAAGGAGAGAGAGGCAGTTTAAGAATTTTTAGCTATCAAAGAGAAGTTTTTGTGTGTCTCCCAGTCGATGAGGAAAGCAGAACTTGAAAGTGTATGGGGTTGGTTTGGAATGGCTGTTAGCGAGGCTCTGGAGATGTCATCTGTTCCTCTGCAACTCTGTGCAGCTCAAGACACAAATGTGGCAACTCCTCAAGGGCCATGACCACCTGCAGGATGAGTTTTCCATCTTCTTTGACCATTTGCGCCCAGCAGCTAGCCGGATGGGTGACTTCGAAGAGATCAACTGGACCGAGGAGAAAGAGTATGAGGTGTGGGCCCTGAGGATGCAGGAGGGTTGTGAGGAGGGAAGACCAGATGTGGGGAGATACCAGCCGAGGGCCTGTGTTGAGCGGCACCGTCTTCTCCCCCAGTTCGATGGCTTCGAAGAAGTGGCATTGCCTGATGTGGAAGAGGACGACGAACCTCCTAAGATACCCACAGCCTCAAAGAACAAGAGAAGAAAAGAGATTGGGGTCCAGAATCATGATAAGGTACGCCGGGGTGTGTGTTGGGGATTACCCATGTTTCGTGAACCAAGCCTTGAGTTTTCTCTGAATGTTTCTCTGGCTTACAAAAGCTTCTGGTGGATGGGACCTGAGCTAACTATGGAACAGGAATCAAAGGTGAGGCTACTGTGGAGCGTGCAGAAACCGTGGGAAGGACAGTGCACTTGCTGAGGAGACCCCAGGGTCGCCTCATGAGAAGGCTTTGTTCTCTCTTCTCTCTCTAGTTCACAACTGTGTCTCTTTAACCGCTTCATTTCTGTTTATGTGAGGAAATAGAGCCAAGTTTTCCCAAATGGTAACAGCTAATACTTATTGAGTTGTTACGAAGTATCAGGCATTGCTTCTAAGTGTTTTGCATGGATTATTATTTATTGTCATTGAATTCGCACAGCAATCCTAGAAAGAGATTGCTATTGTTTGCATGTCCAGGAAAGGAAACTGAGCTACAGAGAGAGACTGTTGCTGGGGTCTCATATTTAATAAGTGGTAACGCTGGGATATGAACCCAGGTAGTTGGGTTCCAGAGTCTGTCCTCTTACTGCTCTCTGTTGCTCTTCAAGAAGTAGCCTCTTTAATCCATGTCTCTTTTCTGTACGTCTTTACTCTTTCCTGGGGAAGAACTGCTTCTAAGTAGCTGAATGACCTTGGGTAATTTATTTAACCTCTCTTTGTTTCAGCTTCTTCATCATAAATGGGGTTAATAATGATACTTATGTCTTGGGTTTGTTAAACAGAGAGTGTCATTGATTGAACCTTCCATATGTATAAAGTCCTCTCTCAAGGGGATTGGAAGAGGGGAGAGCTCAAGGCACAGGGAGAGAGAAACAAAGACAGACGAGTGAGTAGATCATATCTCATGATGGAGCTCTCCATGACTTTGCCTCAGATTGTACTCGCCTTGACTGTGTCTGGAAGCATCTGGGCGATTGGGCTATGTCAGTCTTTTGGTCACTTAGGGATTGTTTCAAGAATTTATGATAGGCTTTGATCTAGCTTGGGCCATCGATTTCCCCAGGTGCTGTGAAGAGATGGTGCAGAAGGAAAATGTTTGGGGGCGGGGCTTGTTCAGATGGCTCAGAAGTCCGTTCCCGTTGTTGGTACCAAAGTGCTTGGCAGTTAACCAAGCCCAAGTATCTCCTAGGAGACTGAGTGGCCAGATGGGACCAAGGACTGTGCCTGTTCCTGCCATGACGGAGGTCCTGATTCAAAGCTGAAGAAGAGCAAAAGGAGAAGCTGTAGCCACTGCAGCAGCAAGGTGAGGAGGGAACTGGTACAGAGGTGGCATCA